GCCGTGCAAGTTTAGGGACCACTGGTGAATTTTACTCTTATTATTAACTGCTTTGTGTATATCTGTACGGTCCTTAGTTGTCTTGATATTGCCTGACGTGTAAAGAAAACTTTGGAGCTTGTTAGTTTCCTTATGTTTTTTTCCTTCTCCCAGATATGAACTCTGACATTATTGTCACCATCTACAAAGAAATTGCCATTTTTCTTGATCATTTAAGACGTGTTTGGAATGCTCGAATTTTGACAGAATTCCGTTATACATGAAAATGTTCTACTTCCACATGAATTAGGGATTTTCCTGCATTCCATTTAGGGGCTTCAATCGTTGTCAATTTTTTAGATATTTACTGTCTCAATATTCATCAATCAACCATTTTCATGTGTGTATCTTAATCTATCTGCTTATTGTTAGCCAAAGACACAGGTATTTGGGGCAGATTTTCTCTATTACTTAGCCATGCCACAAACCATGGCAGGATTGGATACATATAGGAGTAGCAAATTTGCAACTTAAGAAAGGATTACAGCATATTCTAAGTAGATGCTAAATTAGATGCTAAAGCAAGATAAGAAGATAAGGTGCTGACATATGCTCCAACTACTCCTAAGATAAGCTTCCTAGATAGATAAGCACAAGAGTTATAGAGGTCTATCACTTATGCTATTGTCTCAAATTTATCCCTACAATTGTTTAGAGGAAAAATCTTGGCGGTATTAATGTATATGCACTCAGAATCAATAGGCTAATGGATAAATTGTCCCTCATTTGCTTATCTTGTGGCAAGTCTGGGTGCCTTGTTATTAATTAGTTGTAACTCACTGTTATTGTTTACTAGATAAATTACAAAATTATGCATGAAATGGTCCTTTAACAGCTGATAATAGTTCATGTGGCATTATCTTGTTCTCCCATTGTCTGGCTATAATACTTAAAATTCGTGTGCTTAGTTTTTTGTTATGGCACTGTCTGTTTGTTCTGGCATTTTGTTATTATTCTTCCAAAGATAGAATTCCATTTTTGGCTTTTGATGACTGTTCTCAATTTCTCATTGTTAATGTTGTAATTACATTTTCACTTGGACCAACAACTGATGTACCTTGTTTCTCTGACAGCAGGGCGGATAAGGACGATTCACGCTGCTTCAATTGTGGTTCTTATAGCCATGCTCTGAAGGATTGCCCAAAGCCTCGGGACAACGTTGCAATTAGCAATGCCCGAAAGCAGCATAATTTGAAAAGAAACCAATCTAATGTGAACCGTGTACAAAATCGATACTACCAGAAAACGCCTGGCAAATTTGATGATCTGAAAGCTGGAGTACTGGGACCTGAAACTAGACAGTGCTTGGGGATCGGGGTAATGACTATATCAGTTGCAGTCTAAGTTTGAACATCCTGATTTTATTGATAAGATGGTTGTGTTTGACTTGTCTACCAGTGCAATAAGTATTATGATGCATTTAGAGTGAGATAAAAATGACATTTATTTGCATTCCTGTTAGCAATGAAATACTACTACATTTTAGCATTCATGAGATGAAAATCCTTAGTTTATTACTCTCAATACATGACCCATACGAGTTCGGTTAGTTTTGCACATCATGTTTGTACACTTAATGAAATAGCATATATGTGTTGAAATAGCAACTTTTTTCTATTCAAGTGTTGTGTTTATTGTGTGGATAACTGTATGAGGTTCCTGTTGTTCAAGGTTAAGTAATTTTGTGGAGTGCAATACCCTTTGTCTTCTTTACCATCAACCATGATTAATAGATTTTTATGTCCATACTTGAAAGATCCACATCATGTTTATATGCAACTAAATGCATTTGTTGTGTTGGCCTGCTGGTATAACATTTGCAATAAGCTTTTCCTAGTCACTTTCCTATTAGCAAATGATGCAAGCCTCAACAAAGTGGTAATAACACTGCAAAGTTAAGACTTGTTGTCGCACTTAATCTGGTAGCCCTCTGAGCAGACATTCATTTTGCTACCGGAGTACTAGTGACTTATGTGTTTTTCATTTTTATTTTTGGGATCGAATGATCTCTCATGCTGGACAAATAATTGACTTAACTGTACAAAGTTTATTTTGAATTCAGAATGGTAGAATCACATTGTAAGTGTAACTATTTTTTGCAGGAAAATGATCCCCCTCCTTGGCTGCATAGAATGCGTGAGTTAGGGTATCCTCCGGGCTACCTAGGTAAGCCCAACTTCAGTATACATTTTAATATTTGTGAAGTATGCAAACTTTCCTTTTCTGATGTTCATAGTTTGGACTACTCTAGTTAAAAGGAAAACCACCATGGTTATTAAGGTGTCGCTTAATCGTCGCTTAAGCGTCGGGGCGCTCCAGGCTCGCCTTAGGGGTAAGGCGGTGCCTTGTCGGTTGTCGCCTTATGTGCATGCTGACGCCCCCTCGATTCCGCTGTCTCCTCATCGATTCTGATGCTGGCCCTCTCTATTCCGCCGTCTCCTCGTCGATTCCGCCATCTCCTCGCCGCCGTCTGCTCGATTCCGCTTGATTCTGCCATCTCCTGGCCGTTGTTTGCTCGATCTGGAAGGGGAGGGCGGCGGCTGTAGATCTGGAAGGGGAGCAGCGAGGGAGGGGAGCAGAGCAGCGCATCCGAAGAGAGGGAAGCAGAGCAGCGCATCCGGAGAGAGAGGGGCGGAGCCGTGGAGGGAAGCCGGGAGACGAGCAGAGGCGGAACGGTGGAGAATGAGAGAGGAGCACGAGGGGGTTGGGATAAGCCACTCCAGGAGGGGGAGGGGCACATGTCCTGGTGGGCTGGGCCAGCCCACTTCTTACTCCTCCTTTCTTTTTCTTTTTTCCTTTTCTTTTTTCTTCATCATCTGCTGCTCTAAGCTGCAGTTTTAAGTCTTAAATTCGTAAGGCGTCGCCTCCTCATGCTTTAGTCGCTTAAGCGTAAGGCGGTAGTCACTCGCCACGCCTCGCCTTACCACCTTAATAACCATGAAAACCACAAAGTTGCATTGGGTTAGTTCTTTAAACCATTTTTTTACTAGGCCTGTTTGACCAATCAATTATATACATCGTTTTATCTTACTCGCACCTGCAATCCAATTAGCTTCATTCCTATATGGAAGTCATACAGTGAACAGCATCACCATCTGGATGGCATGTGAATTCAAAGTCTCTGTATTTGTTTACATTAGGCATCGCATAAGTTTTATAGCAGATGTTTTCATCATGATATTGTTGCTCACTGATTGTGCTTTTTAGATGTGGTTGACGATGAAGATAAACCTTCTGGTATCACCATATTTGGAGGTGGTGAGGTGAAACTAGATTACGAGGAGGGAGAGCTTTCAGAGCAAGCCGAGGCATCCCCACCTAAGAAAAGGATGACAGTGGAGTTCCCTGGAATAAACGCCCCCATCCCAGAGAATGGTGACCAGTGGCTGTGGGGTAGTGCCCCGCCCCAGTCCTCAGGACGCCACCACTCATTGGATTCGAGGGATTACCATGACAGAGGACCTCCCGGTGCTGATCATTATTCATCGAGATACCATTCCCATGATTATGGGTCTTTGAGCCCAAGCTTAGGGAGGTCACACTCAGACAGGGTGTGGAGAAGCCCGCCTCGTTATGATAATCTGCCAGTGCCAGCAGACGATGGTGCCTGGACCCCGCATTCATACCCCAGCAGGCAGTACTCGAGCCACTACAGCTCGAGCTCTGAGATGTCGTCACGCCATTCTAGGGATAGAGACAGAGACAGGCATGACAGCAGGCACTACCACCACCGCAGATGAGCCAAGCCTGCAGCTGATTTGTATCATATCCTTTTGCTGAAGAATCCTATACCTGACGCCTTCGATCTGACGTAGCAGCAGTCCTGTTACAGTTTCTGAAGTTTCAAATTTTCCTTCCAATATATTTTTGCAGCACTGCTCTCAAATCCATGGCAGGCGGTGGCCTTGTCTCATCTGGTACCTGATTGAGCTCTGCTTCTGTGTTGTATGTCGCCTTTCTCGCATCTGCAACTCCTCGCTCATTTCATGGCAGTTATGGCATATACTGTAGAATGTAAATTTTAATCCTGTTATGGGCAAAAGAAAAGATGGATTCATGAATGTAAAAGCATGGTAGCAAGATTATACCTTCGCTGGAAGACTGAAGATTCTAGGTACTGCTCGCCTATTATTGTCAGAGCTCTTTAAGAGCTTTGGCTACCTAGATTTTTTCCCCGTCTGCTAATGCTTGTGCTTGCCTTGCTCGGATCAATCATTCTTATTCATGCTGTGTGCTTTTAGGCTGACAATTCATTGTAGTGGTAGGCAGCAGAGCTGCTGCTACACTGACAGAGTGACAAGTGCACTTTCTTTTCTTAAGCTATGCTATGCTCTTGCTTGCTGGTCTTTTGCCGATCACATACATGCGACTGCGAGTCTGGTGGTTGTGGGAGGGGCGAGGGCCGAGGGGCAATGGATCCTCCTGTTTGTTGGTTGTATAGGGTAGGGTCATGACATTTTTTTCGGTAGGTAGGACTGTAGGAGGGGACCTAAGTGTCAGTCGCTCGGAACAAAATGTCGCTACGGCAGCGTTGACCATGGCCAACGCTCCGATTTAGGAGTACATGACCACATGTGGAGGGCGATGAGGTCGACCGTGGCCATGGGGGATGCCGTCCATGGATTGGCGCCCAGCAGAGGTAGACGTAGGCTGCGGAGGGTCGGGGCGGGTGGCGGCGCAAGGACCTTGGGGCTGAGGCAGAGAGATGGGGAACGCGCCAACGTACGTACGTAGCACAACTCAACTAGGATAGTCCGCTGGTCGTGCACACTTATGCCAATTGCGCAGGGCCACCTGCGTGTTACAGAATGCTCAATGCTGTAGATTATTGGTTTTTACCTGTGCTTGCTAGCGACGTACATGCACACGCTTGGTAGTATACATAATTACATTAGTAATATAAATGTTATGCTATGAATATTTTGGGTAAACAAACTGAGATACTGGAGGTGGTAAGCTAGCTAGAGGCGACCGCAGTCATAGTAAGCATGCCTAAGCGACTTGCTGCCCAAGAGAATGAGCACGGCGACGCAGAACAGCTTGGTGACCGGAGACGGCGAGCGCACCAGCAGCGCCCCCATGATGAAGGACTCGAGCGACAGCAGCGCCACCCGCGGCCTCCTCTCCCTGATGTACTCCCCGATCATCTTCTCGCGCGCCGGGGCCGGGGCGTCCTTCCCAGCACCGTCAGCGTCGTCCACGGCCCGCCCCAGCGACCGCGCGAGCACGACAGCGTCCTCCAGCCCCGCGGAGCCGCCCTGGCCGATGAACGGGCCCATGGCGTGCATGGCGTCGCCGGCGACCGTCACGGTGCCCTTCTGGAAGCTGCCGAAGACGACCTCCCACGGCGGGCGGTACCAGAACTCCGTGACGAAGTTGAGCGACTCCGGGTCCGAGTCGCGGACGATGTCGATGATCTCGGCGGGGCATCCTACGTCCTGCATCTTCTTTAGCGCGACATCCCTCACTTTCTTCAGGTCCTTGGTGTTCACATCTGCTGGTCGTTCATGGCATCATCAGCTAGGCAGGCCCAGGGGTGTAGTTAAAACATATAGGATTAAGAATTTATAAGATGGAATGGATGGATTTTTCTAATAAGAAGTATTTCTCTAAAGAAATCCCAGGAGGGTGAATACCAGTGGGAGGTTTGGGCATTGTTATGAAGAAATGGACCAGATTGTCTGTGATTGTTAACCGCCCGATGAAGAAATCTCCAACTCTCAGGCGCAGGAACTCGTTGTCGAAAGAATGGCCATGCGGATACCATGTGAAACCCCGCAGCACTGGGCGTGGGATTGTTCTCACCGGAGACAGCCCGAGGTACTTAGCCACCACGGAGTAGGTGCCCTCGCACCCGATCAGGACCTGAAAATTTTGATTTGGCAGAGTTCAATTTCAGGCGGAGAATGGTATTGGAGATGGTCGATTGTCAACTAATACGTTAGGTACTGGGACCGACGTCTTCTGTCTGCAAGTTTATGTTTACCTTGGCCTTCATGGTAGTACCATCCGCCATTGTCAGGACGGCGCCATGGCCGCCGGCGGGATCCGCGTCGATGGCAGCAATGCGGCAGCCGAATCGGATCGTCCCTGCCGGTATGTCCTTGGCCAGTGCCTCGATCAGGTCCTTTCTGTTTAAGCATCGGAGCTCCGTCCTTATATTATATCAACAAAGAAACCAATAAGATTGAATGCACTGCTGCTTGGTTGTTAGGAATTACAGTAGGATATAAGTACTAAAAGTTTGTTCAAGTCATCAGTACTTAAGCGTGTCAGGACTGGACAGGAAGGTAGTAGTAGCTCCTACTAACCTTACTGGAACCTTTTCTCGGCTGGTTTTGTCTCCCTGCTGCCACACATCATGATACCTGAAATTGTTGCCCATTTAATCTTAATCTAATCTGAGCGCATTATAGTTATAGGTGGTCAAATCAAGAGATACAGAATCCTAATATATATAAGTAAATAAAGCAAGCATGCATACACGGTGATAAGATGGGCAGTGTCCCTGAGCTCCGCAGCGACGCCAAGCTGCTCCAGGACTCGCCATCCGTTGGCGTGGACGCCGATGCCTGCGCCATCTGCTCGCAGGCTCCTAGACTTCTCCAACACAAGACTAGCAATCCCTTTCCTGGGTGCGTGCAAGTCATCAGCAGTAATTGAACATTTTTTTAATCAGAACACGTTCAGAACTCCAAACTTTGATACAACGACGTCATGGTTTCATTTGGGCATACGGCAACTGAAATTTAGAAAAATATTGCCTCCACTCTACATGGTTAACGGAAAATTTGATCACTGATACAAAATACTGACTCTGAAATAATAGTATTTTCAACGAAATATACAATACTGACATCCAAAAGCGTCAACAAAAAAAAAAAAGAGAACTTAACACTCCTAAGTCGTAATTAATTTAACTAACTAACTAACTAACGAGCAGGAGGAGCAAATGAGCTCACGTACCGGTGAAGAGCAAGAGCGGTGGCAAGGCCGCAGATGCCGCCGCCGACGATGACGACGCTATGGGCCTCCGCCTCCGCCATGCCTATTGCCTACTTTGTCCGTCGTCCGTGGGCGTCTGCTCCTTTGCTTGCTTCATCCTTCCTCTCTTCCGTGGGCATCTACTTATGGACGAAGCAATCCAGCGCACTGCAAGCCTTCTCAACGACAACCCCCACGTCGTCGTCGTCATCGTTGAATTGAATGAATGGAAACGAAACGGAAGCTGCGCATGCCCAGCCCAGGCGCCACCGCCACATGCGCGGCGAGCCGGCGACACGTGCCGTCGCCTGCCCAGTGCCATCGTCTGATCCAGGTCCGGGCAATGGATGTGCTACCCAGTGCCCGATGCTCTCTCGCCTCCTCTGCACCGCTCACATCGTCGAGTCGACGCGTCCGATCCAGGTCCACTAGCTAGTCGTCCGGAGCCCCGGACCCAGAGGCTTGGGCACCACGGAAAGGGAGAAGCAACCAGACTTCAATTCAAACTTAAACCATTCACCCCGATGAGGAGAGGAATAGTCAGCCGCCGTGGCCAGCTCGAGGCGACCACGCCGATGGACAGGGCAGCAGCCAATTCAAGGACGACGGGTCCCAACCAACGGCATCGTTACGACGGGAGCAATGGACATGGACTACGAGACTTGGCCGGTTGGTTGGGACAACGGATTCGAGAAAAAAAAAACGGTTCTGTTTCTCACTGGCAAACTACAAAATCTTAATACAAATTAAGGCCTCGTTTGTTTCGACAGGAACGGCCTGGAACGCGGCCCGTTCCACCTGGAATGATCTGGCCCGGTTCGAAATCGGGTCAGAAGTGGAACGGTTGTTCGGTTCGGCCTGGCCCGTAACGAAATCTGCTCGATCCTGGTCTTTCCCCCTCCCTTTCGGCCCGGAACAGAGCCGCGCTATCGTAGGTACGGATTCAATCTTTCACCTGGTTTGAGTGACACGGATGGAACCACTTAATCCTGCCCTGGAATGAATAATGGTGGAGAACGATTCCAGAGTTGCCGAACAAGGCCTAAACGGGTCGTCTCAATAAAAACAAGTTTATATCTATAAATAAAAACGGCCAAACACATCGAAACAGGTTTATAAAACAACAACAACAGCAACAACGTACAAGCTTATTGTGGCAACCTGTCCATTTACATTCAAGTCTTCGACTGATCTGCAAAGTGAGGAAAAGCTGCAGCGACTGCTTTCCTGCAGCCGAACGCTCTATTCAGACTTAAAACAGAAATGGATAGATATAGAAATTCCAGTAATTTTAGACTGATATTCATTTATTTTGACCAGTCAAAATGCTAATATTTAGCTAATAAAACTGAATTTATTAGCCAAAATTTGGTCAAGTGGTACGAAGATGAAACAAATGAATTATAGTTTGGTAAGTTTGCATTTCTATATTGAAATAAGAACTTGTAGGCATGTTTTGAACTCTATACTTGACTACAAATTTGAATTTAACTAAAATTGACTGGTACAATGTTGTTTCAGACCTCATCGAAATGGGTGAATTTCACCGAAATTCGATTTTAGACTGAATCCTAGAACGTCGGCAGTCATGCACTTCTTCTTTTTTGACATTGCTAGTTTAATTCAAAGTCTCTAGTTGCTCAAACCATTTCACACTCTCTCTAGATGATCAAAACAATTCACAGTTTCTAGCGGGGTAAAATAAATAATTTCTTTTGTTTTGTTTGTAAGGACAGTAAGGCTCTGCTTCACTAGAGAAGCAAATTTGTTTGGCTTCACCTCCGCAATACCGGTGAAGATGAAGTTATTTTGTTGACCCATGGCAAAACAACTCCTCATAGTTGACAAAAAGAATAAAATGACCATAATGCTCTTCACTTTTTCCCCTCATCTCCTATTTCTTCTTCCTTATCCGTTCAGGCTTCTTTCTCATCTTCTTATTCCCCGTATCTCCTCGCAGTCCCCGACGTCCGTGCCCCCACCCTATTCAGCCCCCGATGGTCGTGCTCATCGGCAGGTTCACCCCACCTCAATCCTACGTGAGAGTAGTTCAGGAGCTTCACATATGAAGCTAGTGAAGAAATTGTGCCAAACAAAACCTAAATAAAAGGATTTGAATGCGTCTCGTAAACTCAAAAGATCATCACGGAAACAGATTGCACAAAGTACAAACGTTTAGTATCAATGTCAAAACTCTTGTTGATACTCATTCCATCCTGAAATATAAGATATTCAAGTATTTAAAATCGTTACAAATTATAAGAGATCCTGGGTCAAGTAATCCCCGAATTTAGATTAAAAATAGCATTCCTTACATACATACCATTAATGTCTATTGCTAAACTTTTGACCGAATGTCTATTGCTAAACTAAATATAGTAATCATGATATCTCGCCGCAATTAAATGGTATTTATCATATAATATGTCTAAGAATTTCTAAGATATATTGTATTCAAGATAGATAGAGTAAATCTTGTGCTGTGTACGACAAAAGTAGAAAAATAGAATCCAGCTTCCGTAGCCATTTCAGGCCCGAAATGAACTAGGCTTCTGTTAGTTGGGCCAATTCTCATCGAGCCTATCAGTCTATGTGACACTTTCTATATCGGTAATGCTCTAAGCCGGGCGTTTGTATGCCCGGACGCTTCGTTGCTGGGCCATGACGCCAGCCCAACAACTCCGCTCCTTCGTTTCTAAAAAAAACTCATCTACTTATTCATATCGACTCGTTCCTCTTCTTATCGCTCTTATCCGCTCGCCTGCCGCCTCCGAGCGCACGGCCGCTGGCCCTCTGAGGCACACTGCTCGGCCGCTAGCCTTGCCAGGGCGCCAGGCACGGCGCGTGTCCACCTCCGATTCGCGGCGCTCGGCTGCTAGCCCTGTCAGGCGCGGGCGTTGCAGCCCTCTCCAAGCCCCCCCCTCCGCCGCTCGTGCGGCTGATGCCTCCCTTCCGCGACATGCAACCACTGCCACCGGCCCGCCTCCGGTGAACACCACACACCGACGAGTCTCCATTCTGCTGAGCAGCAAGGAGATGTTGCGTTGAAAGCGCATGGTGTAAGAGTATGTTTCAAATGTTTCAGAGGTATGTTGCAAGTGTTTCATATGAATGTTGCAAAAATAGATCGTGATGTTGCACATGCTGCAATGGTTGTACACGTATGTTGTAAGCGTCCGTTCCAAATGTTTCATTTGCCTTTTTAGACGTATGTTGCAAGTGTGACTATTTGGATGTTGCATATGTTTCACGCATATATTGCAAGAGTACGTTCGAAATGCTTCAGTTATTTCAGTCTTATGTTGCAATAAGTGTTTTCATGTTATAAGTTGTAAGTGTTTTATCAGGATGTTTATATGTTTCATACATATGTTGTAAGTGTCTTTTTTAAATGTTTCATCTGCTTCAGACATATGTTACATTTAAGTGTATGTGTTCATAGGATCTCTCAGTGTTCAGAGTGGTCACGATCACCGCGCCTTGCCCCTGCAACTCGGACAACCCGAGAAGCACGCACGTGGGCAGGTGGGCGGCGATATTTCTCGGGCTCAGGCGGGCGGGACCAGAGGAAGAGCCACTGCGGGCACCGGCGCCATGCCGGACCTAGCGATAGCGACGACGTTGATCCGGCAGAGCGGGCAGGTGGATTGGGATGCCAGCCACGTGTCGACGCACTGGGCGTGGAATCCACGGTTGCAGCACGGCAAGAACCGGGCCACTTCCCCGTCCTCGAGCTCCGCGAGGCACACCACGCACTCCACAGCGTCCTCACTCCTTGTTCGAACGCGGCGCCGGCGCGGCGCGGTACACCGTGGCCGGCAGCGAGCGCAGCAGCAGCAGCTCCGGGTCACCACCTCCGACCGCCGTCGTCCCGCCACCACGGCCCCACAGCGCGCTCTGCGACGCCGCCGCCGCCGCCTGCTGGGCACTGCGGCAGTGGCACGCGTTGAAGCAGCACTGCAGGGAGACGACCCCAAAGGCGAAGATCACAATAAATAGCAGGAGGATACCGGCAATGGTGAGGATGTTGCCGAACGCCATGGCGTGGGAGAGGGGCAGAGGGCGCGACGCTGGCGTAGTACGTGTGTGTTGCTGGAGCGAGAAACTCCTTGGATCGCCGAGTATATGTATACAAGGAGGGAGTAGGAAGTGTACACGTGATGGAGCCGGAGAAGAAGACGAAGACTGACTGACGAAGGGGAGACAGAGAGGTCCAGGTTGAAGAGTGAAGACGCATGGATGCGTATGGGACGGGGAGTGGGGCGAAGAGGAGAAGAAACCAAGAAGATGACGCGCTTGGCGGCCAGGCTGCTGGTTTTGGCACGCGAGGGCGGGCAAGGCCATGGACGTGGTTTACGCTTGCTGACGCTCGCGCTGCCGCTGCCGGTGTCGAGCAGCAGCATGCACTGGGCACCCGGTTTGATTGATTGATCCTGGCATGTGTGTGACTGTCCCTGAATCAACCAAAACAAAGGTCCAAACTCCAACGAACACAACCTGTCCTGCGAGCAGGCTCTTAGGACCTGGATGGGTATGGGGAGTAGCACGATAAGGAGTGGCCTAGGGTATATTCTTGGGTGCGCCCTACACATTTGGTGGTTGTTCTGATTGGTCCGGTGGGTACGCCAACAGAGGTTGCCGTCTTGCCGAAGCAATCACACCAATAGTCCAATCCCTAAATCAATGGTCAGTACAAAGGAGAACTCTATTTTTTCTATACAATTCTTATTCTTATTGAGTATGTTTTTGTCCATGTAACTCTAAACTTTGTGTTCTAGCTTACTTCAAATGTGGTTTTGTATTTTTCAAAAAATAAAACTTTGGTTTATTTATTAAGAATTCATAACTAATTCATTTTGGAATTGAGACAAACATGAAACTAGTACCAAAATATTTTAACAAAGAAGTCTCTGTTGTTCCTAGATTTAGAGTTCTTCGGATATTTATTTAAGTCATCATTTTGTGTTGTACTAAATTAAGATATCGACCAAGAGAATCCATACTCCAAATTGAGTACCAAATATGTTGCAGACAAATTAACTAAATTATTTTGGAGGGCTAG